AGACATTGATCGAACATTTCCACCAATTACGAAAGCGAGATTTCCGTTATAAAATTATCAAGTGGCGTTAATGATCTCTCAGAAACAAGAATGGATAAAGGGAGAAAAGTTTTTGTCCAAACATAGGGGAGGTCAAGCGATCAGACGGAGGGAGAGTCCTATGAAAACGCTGGCGTGGACGCAAAGAAAACGATGCGTTTTTGATAAAACGAAAATGGAGCATCTCGAAAACGCATTAGTGGGGACAGGGTCTAATTTACAGCCGGTTTAATGAAGCCGTCGGACGCCGAATTCACTACTGTTCATATGCTGTTCAATAAATATATTTTTTACTGAACGTTCTGGTGTATAGTATAGCTGTGAATTTTTACGAGCTGTGCTGTATTTTAGACGAGCCCGCCGGCCAAATCAACTGAAATAAAACGAGTAAAAATGCTCAGCGATATTGCACACCCAAACGTTTAATCAGCAATTTATTATTCAACTACTATATTTCACTTGCATCTCTTACAAGGCGGGAAAAGCGAAGCAGATAGAGAGGTGCAGCACGTGTAGCCGACCGGTTAAACAGGTTTTTTTACAGTACAAAATAACCAATTGTCCAAATACTGTGCTCGATTCGCACGTTATTTGTTCCCAGTGCAGTTGAATGATAAATAGAGAATAATACATGGGCGCGCGTAGATATGGAATTTCTCTTCGACTGTTTAACTCAATAGCTCATGAGTGAGCGCAGCGAACGAGTGACATGTCGAGTTGAACATGAGAAGAGAAATTCCTTATCTACAAGTAACCATATATTATTTTGTTTATCGCATAAACACAATAGCCTATTACTGAGAAGGAAAGCCGACTTCATTAATGAATGAAAATAAATGAATCGACAATCCCGGAATAGCAATCGTAGAGTGCGTTGGCGGTAATTCTAAGGATGGAAAAATGCGTTGAATCATGATGACAAAACCAACAATGGTTGTAATTTTCAATTTAAAAAATTCTTATTTATTGACTTTGTCCCTACCGACAGAAGAAGTCTTTCAGGTAAACGGCCAAAATCAGCTGGTGACAAATCTTCTTGTTGTCGATTTTCATTCTCAGCCGAGAGAAATGCTAATACCAAAGCCAGCTCTATGCATAGTACGCATCTTTCCTCGATATTTCCGTCAGTTGTCTACGATTTGCGCGAACGCGACCTGAAATGTGTCTCCTCGACCGCGCGGCCAAAAAGTCACGTGAGCTGAGGCTGTGACGTCAAGTTATTGT